TCATTAGAGTCAAAGTTCCAAATCTTGCAGGATTTCTGTTTTGGCTCAAATAGGCTCTCAAAACTTGCCATTTAGCCATAATTGTTTCCTCCTTGCCTTCCTGATTCCCTTTTTGGTGGTGTATTGATATTTCAGTGGCAAGATTTTATGTTTTTAAGAGGTTTAATTTGTTGTTCTACCAGGCTGTTTTGTTAAATTTAAATTTAGAGCATACTTCCCTGTAGTGCCTAACTCCCACTCAGTCCATTCTTCCCTGTGCTCACTCCATCTGTTTCCTTCTTGCTCAGTAGCAGTAGAAACTTTCATAATCAAACAAATTTTCAAACCCTTGTCAGGCAATGTGGAGGACACACTCCTGAGCAGCACAGTCATGATCGTTGTTTATATGAACATGGTGCTCCAGATGTATTGGCAATGGGATGACCAAAATATCCTTGGAATTTAGGATGTGGAAGGCCACTTTTCTCAACATGTGTGTAGAGCTCGCCATGGCGCTACAGTGACAGAGCACCAATGTGTGGGTTCCCCTCAAAGCAGAGAAACATGGTCATCACCCTACAGAAGCTTGCCTTCTTTGTTTGCTACCAGTCAATAGCTAATTCATTTCGTTTTGAAAATCAACTGTTGGAACTGTTGTTACAGAGATGTGTGCTGCTGCCCTGGATGATAAAATTTGGCAATGCAAATTTGTGAGTAATCTCCGGTGAATGCTTGGAGTTATGGAATTGTATAGGAGCCACTGATGGGATGCACATGTCTATTATTTGTCTGTCCCCTTGCTTCCCTCCCATACACTCCCCAAATAGGCCTTGGAGTTCATCAGCAGAAAAAGGGGTATTTTTTTCATGATCATACAAGGCTTGTTTAATCACAATGGTGAGTTAACTAAATTAATGTGGGGGGTGGTCTAGAGTGGTCCATGGTGCTAGGAACTTTAGCAACTAGATGCAATGAAAACTGGAACTTTTGCTCCCAAAATCACTATGAGCATTGATGGTGGTGTGTTTCTAGCTTTTATTCTACCTGAAGTTATATAGTGAATTTGAAATTGGAGTACAAGTCTTATAGTGGTATAACTCATTCCAAAATAGTTCTCTGTGTCTCTTCCAAAGCAGTTATAGCAGGATAAAATGCAAAATGGGGCTGGGGAAATCACTTATGTGGATGCAAGGCAGTTCATACTGGAATAAACTAAAGATACATTGAAAAAACTTCCCCATGTAGACAAGGCCTGAGACAGATATTCTGTAGAAGATACATCCTTTTCCCTACTTTCCTTCCTCTCTTCTCAAGGAGGTTTTCCATCCACTAAATTGTAGAAATACAACCAGACCTTCTAATCAAGGGATAGTGGGTTGGCCCCACCTTTGTAGAACTCTTCATAGACATTTTTTTAAAATGCTTTAAGAATTGGTAACCACAAAGAAAATTGTATTAAAAAATATACAAGTAAGAGTAAAATACAAGTAATATACAAAAAATATACAAGTAATTGCTGTCAAGCAATTAAAAAAATTAATTGTGATTAATAGTGCAATTAATCGGGCTGTTGAACAATAATAGAATACCATGTATTTAAATATTTGTAGATGTTTTCTACATTTTCAAATATATTGATTTCAATTACAACACAGAAAACAAAGTGTACAGTGCTCACTTTATATTTATTTTTATTACAAAAATTTGTACTGTAAAAAACAAAAGAAATAGTATTTTTCAATTCACCTAATACAAGTACTGTAGTGCATCTCTTTATCATGAAAGTCGAACTTACAAATGTAGAATTATGTACAAAAAAACCCTGCATTCAAAAATAAAACAATGTAAAAGTTTAGAGCCTACAAGTCCCATCAGTCCTACTTCTTGTTCAACCAATTGATTAGACAAACAAGTTTGTTTACATTTGCAGAAGATAATGATGTCTGATTCTTGATTACAGTGTCACCTGAAAGTGAGAACATGTGTTTGCATGGCACTGTTGTAGCCGGCGTTGCAAGATAGTTACGTGCTAGATGCAGTAACGATTCATATGTCCCTTAATGCTTCAACCATCATTCCAGAGGACATGCATCCATGCTGATGACAGGTTCTCCTTGATAACGATCCAAAGCAGTGCTGACTCATGCATGTTCATTTTTCATCATCTGAGTCAGATGCCACGAGCAGAAGTTTGATTTTCTCTTTTGATTATTTGGGTTCTATAGTTTTGGCATCAGAGTGTTGCTCTTTTAAGACTTCTGAAAGCATGCTCAGCACCTCATCCCTCTCAGATTTTGGAAGGCACTTCAGATTCTTAAATCTTTGGTTGAGTGCTGTAGCTATATTTAGAAATCTCACATTGGTACCTTCTTTGCATTTTGTGAAATCTGCAGTGAAAGTGTTCTTAAAAGGAACAACCTGCTGGGTCATCATTTGAGACTGCTATAACATGAAATATATGGCAGAATATGGGTTAAAACACGGAGCAGGAGACATACAATTTTCCCCCAAGGAGTTCAGTCACAAATTTAATTAGTGCATTATTTTTTTTTAATGAGCGTCATCAGCATGGAAACAAGTCCTCTGGAATGATAGCCAAAGCATGAAGAGGCATATGAATCTTTAGTGCATCTGGCATACAAATGTCTTGCGACACCAGCTACAATGGTGCCATGCAAACGCCTGTCCTCATTTTCAGGTGACATTGTAATTAAGAAGTGGGCAGCATTATTTCCTGTAAATGTAAACAAACTTGTTTCTCTTAGCGATTGGCTGAACAAGAAGTAGGACTGAGTAGACTTGTAGGCTCTAAAGTTTTACTTTTTGTTTCTGAGTGCTGTTATGTAATTAAAAAAACTACATTTTTAAGTTACACTTTCATGATAGAGATTGCACTACAGTACTTGTATGAGGTGAATTGAAAAAATACTGTTTCTTTTGTTTATCATTTTTACAGTGCAAATATTTGTAACAAAAATAATATAAAGTGAGCACTGTACACTTTGTATTCTGTGTTGTAACTGAAATCGATATATTTGAAAATGTAGAAAAACACCCAGAAATATTTAATAAATTTCAATTGGTATTCTATTAACAGTGTGATTAATCATCATTAATTTTTTTAATCGTAATTAATTTTTTTGAGTTAATCGCGTAGTTAACTGCAACTAATCGACAGCTCTAGTAAGAGCACATAACCTTTCCTGACTAATTTATTTACAGTTGAATGTTTGTTTCAAATCCATAGTGTATGCCTCCTATAAAGGGAGGTTAAAATACAGACCAAATACATTTTTAGCAGTTTTTACAGCAGGCTTGTTTGTCATAAAACTGAATCAATAGCCAAAGGTTTTTATGGACTTTTCTGAAGTACCTCAGAGTTTAGGTTTTGGTATTAATACAAAGCGTAAGTATTCTCCCCATCCAGTGATGGGACTGGAACATAAACATGATTCTACAAGAAGCATCATAGAATGATGAAAATAATCTCATATTGTTGAGCACATTCATAAGGAAGAATGATGATCTTTCAAAATTAGGTGCTTTACATGAAGACATCTAACCGGATAATCACAAGTTTTGTCATATAAGAAGAAAATTTTGATGTAGAAATATGTATTTAATTGAAAATCATAAAATGTGTGTAAAATCATTACTTTAAGGTGTTGGGTTTTTTTCAGACGCAGCCTAATGTCTCATCTCATTCTGAGGCTTGTAGGGCTTAGTGATAACGGGACACTTCTTGTACTGTTCGGCCAACTTAGAAATCCTACTCAAGAGTCATTGATGCGTCTTCCTTGTTGATTGAAAGCTTGACTAGTTGCACTATGGCTATGGGTTAAAAAGTTATTTAGAGCAAAGGAGAGTGAAAATTTTAGGCACTCTAATTAGTGTGGCTAACTTTTCACTTAGTCACTGCCCTGCAAATGTGAGGGTTTTTTTTTTTCTTTTTGTTTAAACTTTTTTGGGTTTAATGTCCAAAGGATTGCTTGTTCTAAGATCATTTTCTTCCAGTAAAACCGGAAATCGTGAGAGGCAGTAATATTTCATGTTGGAAAAAGTAGCATTATACTCCTGCTTCCTTCAATATTTTTGAGAACCAGTACTGGCTTTTACTCTTTTATCTGACACAAGGGAAGAGTGTTGGCCCTCCTTGATGTGTGGACACAACAGTACTACTCACATGTGTAAAGTTATTCACATAAGTATGTGTTTACAGAATTGGAGCCAAGATTTTACAGTCTTTTAGATAGGGTCAGTGATTTGATATATAAGCACCTAGCATATTTTAGGGGTGCTATAAACAAGTAATGATTGCTAGTAAACAAGTGACAAACATTCTGTCTATGAATTGCTTAAATGAAACAAATCTAATTAACTTATGGAAAGGTTTGAATATAATTGTCATTCTTACTAAAAATTGGCTGCTTTGTGGGTTTCCAGAGTGGAGTTGATGCTGATGTGTGACATCTAAAACCCAAATTGACATAGTATCTTCCTTCCTATGAGGCTGTCCCTCTACCTGTGTTGCACTTCCACAGCTGAAGTTTACAGAGGTTTTTCAGCTGGATCCCTCTTGGTATAAAAGAGAAGTTGCTGTTGACTGGGAGTTCTTTGTGAAAGCCTTTTTCCTTTGGAATTTTGCTCCTCCCCGCCACCCTCCCACTGCCCTTTAGTCCACAATAATCTGAATTTGTTCACTTTCAGGGCCTTTTAATAAAAAGGGCTTCTGAGGAAGAGAATAGGGCTTGTGGTGTAAAATATAGAGAAAGCGGAGACCATTTCTTCTGGTTTTTACTGTATCGTTATTAGGTGGTTGGTGTGTGTGTGTGTGTGTATATATATATATATTTAGGATTCCTATATACAAATGTATGCTGATTGCATTAGTTTATTGTGTTAGGTAGCTCTTGTCACTTTAAAAATGCAAACCAGTAAAAAAGGATAAACTCTTTTAAACTGTGATTCCAAGACTATAATTTCAATAGTCACATTATATATTTTTCTATTGTGTTTTACAGTGAATAATCCTATACCTTCCACCTTGAAATCAGAAGCAAAAAAGGCAGCTAAAATATTACGAGAATTTACAGAAATAACTTCCAGAAATGGACCTGATAAGATCATACCAGGTTAGTAAGGATACAAATTTGTTGCAATTGAAGGACCCACTTCTCCAGACCTCACTTGGGCAAAACTCCCATTGTCTTCATGATTACCTACTGTGTTGTTGTGCATTTTCTCCAAGGGTAATGAAGACCTGGACCCTACAGCTATAATTTTTGTGAAATGAATTTACTCTTAAGAGGTAAAATTCATTCTCGTCCAGGGGTCCTGTGTTGAATATTTCTCACACCTTGTTCCCACCCCCCCACTACCCCCATTAGCAGAAGTCACTGTGAGAGTGGCTATGTTGGTGGACATCTGCATGATGTGGATGGAGGCTCCATATTTGCCCTGTATAGACTGGCACATGGGGAGGACCACATTTTTAAGATATGTTATGCGGCTAAAAGTAATCTATTTTCAATGATTTTCCTATGACTCTACTGTAAATCAAAATGGAGGTAAATGGAGTCACACCAGTATAAAACTGGTATTAGAGGAGAATCAGGCCATCTGACTTTTTTTCCCACTGTCCTTTTTTTTCTGCCATATTCATCTTTTTTTTTTTTCCTCTGAGTTCTAATTTCCTTCCTTGTTCCATATTCCAAATTTTATTTGAATTTTAAATGAGTTGTGTTCCAAAAGATATATAATAAAACTTTAGATTTTCTTTTCTGATGTCATTTTATTATGATCCTAAGTATTGAATAACAATGGGGATGTTAATCATTTTTATAAAATGATTACAGATTAACATGTACTCTGTTACTGTTAAAATCCTCCACCTGAAAAAGCCGTTGAGGCAGAGATGTTGAGTCTCCATTTCTTTTTATATTTCACTAATTTAGCTCACTATTTTGTTATAAATTTGTCTCTTTCTTATTCAAAATTGTTAAATGTATGGCTGTTTTAAGTCCCGATTGTGTTTTAGTATGTTCTTTATGCTCTTTTGAAAATGTCAATTTTAACTAATTAATATTTGTTTTCAGCCAATGTAATAGCTAAAGCTAAAGGCCTTGCAGTTTTGTCTGTTATCAAAGCTGGATTTTTGGTAACTGCTCGAGGAGGCAGCGGGATTGTATTAGCACGCCTTCCTAATGGAAGTAAGTTGACGTATTCTCAATCAAACAAAGAATTACAGTGTGTATCTTCCTTTTCTACATCAGGGGAAACTTCAGAATAAGTGTCATTCATTTTTCTTTTTTCCTGCTTTTAATAACTAGACCATTGGAAATGCCATTCTGGATCAAACCAGGGATCTGTCTACTCTAGTAGCCTGTCTCTAAGGCTGATTTTTACATTAGAAAATTTTGTATCTGTTCTCCAGGAACATTGCAGCAGTAGTGCTGCGAGCACCACCGTTGACTAGACTTAGGTTTTTCAGCATCTTTGCTGGGAAACAGTATGATACTTTTTAATGCACATGCCGTGTAACAATAGCTAGTGCTAGAGCCTTCAGAACAATGTGTAATATCCCCATAGTGAACAATTTTAGAATTGTTTTGAAGCATGAAGGTTAATATGTTTAACCGAGTAGGGTATCTATATATTATCATTATTGTTTGTGTGTGATCTTTTTGAAAATGAGTTTCATAGGTAAGTTTTATATGTTGTGTTGGGAAAACAATCCAGTTTTAAACTTGTTACTTTTTAGTGGACTGATTTATCATAGAATCATAGAATATCAGGGTTGGAAGGGACCCCAGAAGGTCATCTAGTCCAACCCCCTGCTCAAAGCAGGACCAATTCCCAGTTAAATCATCCCAGCCAGGGCTTTGTCAAGCCTGACCTTAAAAACCTCTAAGGAAGGAGATTCTACCACCTCCCTAGGTAACGCATTCCAGTGTTTCACCACCCTCTTAGTGAAAAAGTTTTTCCTAATATCCAATCTAAACCTCCCCCACTGCAACTTGAGACCATTACTCCTCGTTCTGTCATCTGCTACCATTGAGAACAGTCTAGAGCCATCCTCTTTGGAACCCCCTTTCAGGTAGTTGAAAGCAGCTATCAAATCCCCCCTCATTCTTCTCTTCTGCAGGCTAAACAATCCCAGCTCCCTCAGCCTCTCCTCATAAGTCATGTGTTCCAGACCCCTAATCATTTTGAAGGTCTCACTGCAGCCCCTTGCACCACTTCTTAGGAAGAAAACCTTTTACAGGTCAATCTTCATCACTACTTATGGAGTTCACACACATGATTATTGTTCTAGGAAATCTCAGGCCTGCTGATGGGGAGGGCAAAGGGGTGAATTGCTCAGGAGCACTGTGATTTAAAAGGTCCCGGGTGGATGGGATAGATAAAGTATTTTTTAAATAAAAATTAAGATTACAAAAAAAATCCGGTTTGCTGCTGCTGCTGCTCTGTACAGAGCACCATCCCTCCCTGTGACAGTAATAGTTTACTAGAGCGCTGCTGCACCCTGCTGGTCTGGCAGTCTGGCAGAGTATCAGCAATAACAGCCTGGGAACCGTGGAGCTTGCTGCCCCCTCTGGCTGCTCAGGAGCCGCTGTGCCTGCCGTGCTGGCTCTCTGGCTGCTGGGCGAGCACAGGGAGACTTTAAAGAGGAACAAGCTCCCTCTGCGCTACCAGACTTCCTCCCCGAGGGCTGCAGCTCCTCACCAAACACAAGCCAGCAAGTTCAGCCACCCTATCGAGCCACCCTAAGTTTGCCAAGAGGCAGCTGGGGCTAGCCCCCCACTTCATTGCCTCTAGCACTGGCTGACGAGATGCTATCACAAGCGCATTATGATGGGCCACCTCCACCACTCAGCCAGGGAACGAGGCACGGGTTTTCCCTCTGCCTTCACCCCGGCCGCGTCCCAATAGATGTGGCCGCACCATGTCTGCCATCTCCTCATTGCTCTGGATGTTGATGTCCCACAGCACCAGTAGTGCAAGTATTGTATATTTTAACATTGTTGATCATATTCAGTCACATCTTGTCTATCAGTTTTTTCCTTTTCTTTAGATTACACATGAATCATGATTAGGTGTTTAATTCGCCTAGTTGGTACTTTAGGTGTGTTGTTACTTTGTGGTTCTTTAAATGTTTTATGTATTAATTTCATTCCATAATGTATTTATTTAATTTAAATATGTAATTCAAAATAACAAATTCTACATCTTGCATTTAGTTTTACAGTTTATTTAATACTGGTGCTGTAAAAAAAAGTTAACTAGGTTAAGCAATGCCACAACTTACGCCTAGTGGGTTCTAATGTGTTATCAATAGGATAAAAAGTAGTGTCATAAACCTCAGCCATCCCTTTCTAAGGGGGCAATGGACTTTTCTGCCCTGGGGCCCAGAATTGCTGTCAGCGGGCATGGGAAAGCTACCCAGAATGCAACAATTTTACATCCAAATAAACCAAATGAACTGGCTTGGGGACTTTTGGAGGGGCAGGTAGGAATCCTGTCCAGAAGAGAAACTGTAAAATAGCTATAATGAGTGCTGACATGAAGGTTCTGCTTACTGGGTGTCAAAACTATAAGCATTTTGATATCCTGAATATTTGTTCACCTGTGTTCAGATGAGAGACTATAGTTCAACTCTTAGTTACATAATGCCAAGAATTCTAACAAGGAAAAAATCCTAAATCAGAGGCAGAGTACACTGAAATGGTGGAAGTAGAGATGTAACTAGGCATTTTAGGAATGGGGTAAGCAAGCATATTTGCACCCCCTGCTGGTTTTTTGGGGGCATTTCTCTGCCCATTTTTCCTCCTCTATGACTTTGCTCCCTGGGCAGCTCCCGCTTGCCCCATCCTGGTTATAGCCCTGGGAATATAATATTTCAAAATGCTCAATGGTGTTTCTTACACCATCGTTCCTATTCTGTTACTAAGTTACCAAGGCTTATTTGTCTGTCTCTCTGTTGATTTATAATTAGATATAGTGTTGTTTGTGTTTAAAATCAGTATTTACCAGTAGAAGTATTACAGTAAGTAACATTAGGTAATATGCATTTGGAATTCAATATGCAGTAGCTCACTATAGTGTTATGAAATAGTTCCTTAGCTAAGGAAGATATTTAGTATGCAATAGATTTCTGCTCTGTTGGTCAGTTTAAATGTGAGAACTAATTCTTTGTTTGTTTATAAAAGTGCTGTGAAGCACACAAAGGCATGCAATGGGAAGTAACTGTTTGCAGAAATACATGACCACTACTAAAAGTAACCGAACAAAAAAATTTAGCTACACTGATGCACCCCATAAACCTTCAAATTTTCAAACCTCTGATGTTCTGTGTGAAGTATTGATACCTTTGTAAACAAGCCTTGGTATCCAAGAGATTAACTGAACCTAATTATATGATGTTTGAAAAATGCTTTTGAAAACATGCACATTAATATATTTAAAAAAAAATTGCAGACAGTTGGCCTAAAATAAGAGTTCTTCAGTGTAAATGGTGCTGTCTCTGAAGTGTCCCTTCGATATGTAATCAGAATTACAGTGAAAATTTCCAATGTGCAGTTTTGTTTTTCAGTAATTATGTCCTTTTAACTATTGAAATGCAATTTTATAATTAGGATTTTTTTCTTTACTATTGCAATATTATTTATCAAACAAACTGTTCCCAGGCAGTACTGTTTTCATTTGCTGTCTACTTGATGTTGCCAGTTCTTCAGGTGCCTTCCATGAAAAGCAATTTTTACTTTGCAAACATGACTTTCAAACTGAGTTTTGGATGGCACTGAAAATTTTGAGGCACATTTTAAGAACAAGAGAAAAAATATATTTAGCTGTGTAATTTTTTAGGTTTCAGTTTGAAAATTTGGATGTCAAATGCAATGACTTGTAATACGTTTCATATTGTATTTGTTGAGCTTTAGTTTCTGTAAAGGGGAGAACTTATTACTGTTAAATGGTGATATGGTTGAAATTTTGTAATATGTATCTTATTTTGTGTGGGTCAGGTTGGTCTTCTCCTTCTGCAATAGGGATAGCTGGCCTTGGTGGTGGATTTGAAATTGGAATTGAGGTAAGGGTTAAATACATTTGTAAAATCTTACAAAAGTAGAGTTTTCTATGCTATGTCCATTGATGTCTTGAAATATGCTCTGTTTCAGTGTACATGAACTGTACTTGAAACTTATTTTATAATATTGCATGCGCAGTATGAATTTTTCTCATTTTTTCATAAAATGATATATATTGAATGGGATGTAAAAAATCGAGCAATGAAGATTCATAGAATCATAGCATATCAGGGTTGGAAGGGACCTCAGGAGGTCATCTAGTCCAACCCCCTGCTCAAAGCAGGACTGATCCCCGACTAAATCATCCCAGCCAGGATGACCTTAAAAACTTAAGCCTGAACTTAAAAACTTCTAGGGAAGGAGATTCTGCCACCTCCCTAGGTAACGCATTCCAGTGTTTCACCACCCTCCTACTGAAAAAGTTTTTCCTAATATCCTACCTAAATCTCCCCCACTGCAACTTGAGACCATTTCTCCTTGTTCTGTCATCTGCTACTACTGAGAACAGTCTAGAGCCATCCTCTTTGGAACCCCCTTTTAGGTAGTTGAAAGCAGCTATCAAATCCCCCTTCATTCTTCTCTTCTGAAGACTAAACATCCCCATTTCCCTCAGCCTCTCCTCATAAGTCATGTGTTCCAGTCCCCTAATCAGTTTTGTTGCTCTCCGCTGGACTCTTTCCAATTTTTCCACATCCTTCTTGTAGTGTGGGGCCCAAAACTGGACACAGTACTCCAGATGAGGCCTCACCAATGTCGAATAGAGGGGAACAATCACATCCCTCGATCTGCTGGCAATGCCCCTACTTATACATCCCCAAATGCCATTATAGTCCATTCATCAAGCCCATACTTCTTTAACTTGCTGTCAAGAATACTGTGGGAGACAGTGTCAAAAGCTTTGCTAAAGTCAAGGAACAACACGTCCACTGCTTTCCCTTCATCCACAGAGCCAGTTATCTCGTCATAGAAGGCAATTAGATTAGACAGACATGACTTGCCCTTGGTGAATCCATGCTGACAGTTCCTGATCACTTTCCTCTCCTGTAAGTGCTTCGGAATTGATTCCATGAGGACCTGCTCCATGATTTTTCCAGGGACTGAGGTGAGGCTGACTGGCCTGTAGTTCCCAGGATCCTCCTCCTTCCCTTTTTTAAAGATGGGCACTACATTAGCCTTTTTCCAGTCATCTGGGACCTCCCCCGATCGCCATGATTTTGCAAAGATAATGGCCAATGGCTCTGCAATCACATCCACCAACTCCTTTAGCACTCTCGGATGCAACGCATCCGGCCCCATGGACTTGTGCTCATCCAGCTTTTCTAAATAGTCCCGAACCACTTCTTTCTCCACAGAGGGCTGGTCACCTTCTCCCCATGCTGTGCATTATTAGATTGGTACATTATTAGTTCTTTGTTAACTGAGCTTATCTGATCTGTTTGCTAATTAACTGACATTAATTAATGCATTTCTTAAGCATTAATTAATGCATTAATTAATGCATTTCTGAAGAATAGAAACAAATGACCTGTTTGATAAAAAGACATATTGTACCTGGGATAAAGAAATGAGATAAAGGGGATAGAAGATTTTGTAGTTGGACTTGATAGGATTATATACAGATTGTGTTTGCAGATAAAGTGAAATTAGATAGCTGTGTGTGCTAATTGGTAAGAGGAACTGCATAGTGCTAGTAAGCATAGTGAAGGTAAATTACATAAAAACAAATGGGTAGAACTGCCCCCTTTTAAAGTTAAACCTAGCTAAGTGAAAACAGTGTTAAAAGCACACTAGACGCATGGATTATGTTAATTAACAAAAAGTTTTATGTGCAAATCACTTACTTACTCCAGCACATATCAACTGTAAGTGTGCTCTTACATAGAGCATGCTGTTTCTAAACATTAGAAAATGAAGTAATAAACTTGTCAGAGGCATTGGTGAAACATTGTCTAATACAGTGAGAGGTACCCAATATAAAACCTGTCCGGTTTCTTACAGTGGTCTCTAGAGAAAACCATATATTTTGATTCTTAGTCTTACTGGATTTGTAAAACCTGCTGAAACAGTCAAGGATTTAAATTTACACTGGTTTCAGGCCCAGGACTTGTTGTATTGAGTCTTGGAGCGGTGCCAAAAATAACATTTCTCAACGGAGGGACAACTTTTTAAGCGTGGTGTACATGAGCCATCAGGACTAGGAAAAGCTATAGTTGGAATTCTAGTTTGTACATATGTGTATATGTATTTTTGTAGCCAAACAGGACTTGTTCTTTCTTTCGTTCTCAATATAATGTGTATGTGCACTTCTTTAGATTAAAGTACATGATAGACATCCTCCTCCCTCCCATAACAATAATGTAATGTTAAGTTTGACACATCAAAGCACTTGCAATCCAGGAAATGCAGAATTATGGTTTAAAGTTGAAACTACATAGCACTTAACTGTTCCAGAAATTTCTTCTCCCTAGCTCCTGCAGTGTCTTGGTACACTTTCCAGATATGCAAGTGGCCTCTCATATGGCACACCTTATGTTCCAATAATTAGTCAGTTCATATCACTTAAGTGTGGTAAATATCAATTTTACTGTATGCAAACAAACTGATAAAAAAAGTTCCATTGATGATCATGGAAATTTATAGACCAGCAAAGTAAGAAAAATGCTGCCTGAGAAGTTTTATTAGAATAAAAAATCCAGTGATTTAGGCTTTTGAATTGGGTTTGTTACAAATGGACTAACAAATAGATTAGTACAAGCAGGTATGATTTGTTGATTTAAGAATATTTACTTTGTATATTTAGATGTGATGTTGACAATTTGTGTTTTAAAGGTTATAAAGCTTTAGCTTTTGAATCTCAGCATTTGGCATTAAATAATTGTCTGAACCCCATAATTTCCCACAACTGTGAAAATTAAAATCAATAAAAATATTTAAATATGCTTAAAATAAACATCAATATTATCTGTCAGAATTATAAAAATCAAATTCTGCCAAGCCTATCTATAACAGTTTATTCTGTTCTTCGGTAATGTGCTTCTGTTATGTAGTTCTGCACCTGATAGAATCCTTACCACTCATGAAGGAGTAAACAAGGGGCTATTTCTTAAAGATGTTTTTTCCCTGAAGGTCAGTCATTCAGGAAGCCATGTTTTTTATATTTTCAATAAAATGTGATGTTTTCATTTGCATTTTCCGTCGCTATATATGTAGTCAGTCCAACATCCTTAATATTTATTATTTTTCAAATTAGTCAATGTATTTCTTCTCATGTTTCAGTTAGTCTATGACCTTTGCACGGTTTATCTGTTACCATAGTTTTAAATGCTCTGTGTTTTGTTCAAGAAATTTATTCTGTGATCCTAGAATCCTAAAACCAAAGACACTAAAGAGGCAACAAACTTATTAGATCATCTAACCTGTTCCTCTGTGTATATGTAGTGGTGTAGAGTTCAGTCTTAGTTTTATATGCCCCAATTGATAGGGCTTCAAATAATTTCCGTGGGAAACTATTTCACAGCCTAATGGGTTTCACTGTTAGGAAGTTTTCTTTTCCTGAAATTTATCCTAAATTATTTTTGTACCTCTTTGGTGTTTCTTAGGTTTCTCCCCCTCCTCCCCACAATTAAATATCTCTGTATGTTTTCTACCTAATATAGTAGAGTTGTAATTTTCCAAATTGTTTAGTTTTCTTTTTCATATTTCTACCTATTTGGGCCCAGATTACAGCACACAGGATCAAGTGCCTTGCCTGATTGGGGTCAGGGTCCCTTTGTATTAATTCTTTGTTATCATTTATTAATATTTATTTACTTAATTAGTTTTTGGTAACACATTTCAGTTAAGTATCCTATCTAAATTTTATTAGATTTTAGTTCTGTTTGAGATCATTAATAGAGACGTTACATTAGGTAAGACTTAACACGTGTTCCTGTGGTTCCACTAGACTGCTTCCTCAATGTCAATACATTGCTATTTCATTATCCTTTACTTACAGACTTCCAGTTTCCATGGCAGTTTTCATCCACAAGTCAACTTGAATTATTTTTGGGTACATTTTGTGAACTTCTGTCAAATACCTGATTAAAAATCAAATATGTAACAGCTGCAGTGTTCCATTCCTCCAATAATAATGTAATTGTATAACACAACATTCCCAAACAACCAGCTTTATCTGGTAAGAATCACTGTTTTATAACATGATATCTAAATACAGTTTGTGTTTTAAAAACAGCTTAGGCTGCTTATTGGTCATGGTTCTCTAAGGGGTTGTCTACACTACAAAATTAAGTTGACTTAAATCGACATACAGCCACCGCAGTAATTAAAGCGGTTGTCCACGTCAACACTACGCTCCTTCTGTTGGTGCTGTGCATCCTCACCAGGAGTGCTTCCACTCACTGTAGTGAATAGGACACTGACAGCTGGAGCCTGGCAGCCCTGGCACTGACAGCCCCAGCATCAGCCAGTTGTTGGGCTCTCTCCCCTGCCCTAGTGCTGACAGCCCCGGCTATCAGCCTGGTGCCTGTCTGACATCTCAAGTTGTCAGCGCCAGATTGGGGAGATGTAGGGGCTCCAGCTGTCAGCCCCATTCAGGACGGACAGCCAACAGGCAATGTAAGTATTGCAGTGTCTACACGGGCACTGGGTTGCCCTAACTACATTGACATAAGCACTACGCCTCTCGTGGAGGTGGAGTTATGTCGGCGTAGTGAGCAACTTACTGTGATGGAAGCAGCACTGTAGTGTAGACACGGACATAATTAGGTTGACACAAACATTGTAGTGTAGTCCAAGCCTCATCCTCTAAGAATCGTTGTCCCTTTATATTTGTTCCATTATTTTAGTTAGGATAAAAGTTTTAGTATTGGTGCTTTCCTAGGGTGAGATTCACAGTCCAAAGGATAGGGAGGTTTATGTGGCTTTAATCAACCTTTCTACCTTCCTGATCCTGGGCCAGTTGACTGACTGGAGATGCCACAAATGTAATTTAGAGAGCTTTGGG